CATTTGTTCACAAGAAATACGGAGGTTCATAATATTGGTACCAGACAAAATGTTAACCTATTTCCCCCGAGTACTTCTCTTACTAAAGTTCAAAAGGGTCCATATTATTCTGGTATAAAAATCTACAATCATCTGCCTAAAGAGCTGAAACAATTATCTAATAACCAGAAATCCTTTGAACGTTCCCTAAAAAGATTTTTACATGCTAACTCTTTTTATGCATTAAATGAGTATTTTAATTACAAAGGCACATAAATTTGAATGCTTAACGCCACATTTTAATATAGTTGGTAAGGGAGATGTGAGGAGTTGTATTGTGGTTACTTGTGACTTATGTTTGTTTAATCTTTTTGCCTTGTATTGTTGTATGTGCTGGATAATTAATGTGGGTGATCTTCGCGGTGTGACTTTCTGTATGTGTTTGATGACTAATTCCACATCCTGGGTTTGTTCCCTGTATGGATGTTTATGGAAAGTGGAGGATATGTATGTATGTATATGACGAGTCCTGTATCAATGTATTTTGATTTATGGGAAAATTGTATTAATTTTAAGTTTTTATAGTAATGCACTTTTTAAATTATGTTTAGTTACAATTGTAATAAGCTCTTGTTTTGTTTTTTTATATTTCCTATGTTAGTTAACTGGTGTGTGTTATTTTAGTTGTGTGACTTATGCAATCTATTACATGTATACATCTATAATCAAATGGATTATTTCCACATCCTAGGATTTTTGCCTGTATGGATATATGGAAAATAAAGGAAAGGAATGAATGAATGAATTAGGTGTATATACTGTTCCTAAAATTGAGGCACTTAGTATGTTGCATGTGAACACATTGTTATTGTAAATTTTAAAAACTTTAAAATTTCTAGAAGTTTATAAAATTGCTGATTTAGCTGTGTTGCACCTGGTTATCAGCTGTGGGTGTTTTATTTATTTATTTTTTTTTTTTTTTGCTGAGGTATGGATATCACCTTCTTGCTGGGTTGGTCTGTTCTGTGTGTGAACATAAGCTGAGCAACAGAATGGGCACATTAGAGCAAACAGGAACAGCGTGAAACAGTCAAATGCCAGCATTCCAGGTACAGAATCTGTCCAAACAGGACCACTAATGCTGGCACTCAAGGACACTGACATCATCATCAACACACAGCCCCGCTGTGAAACACTCAGAGCCCGTCATGTTGTATGAGAACAACCAGGTCCACACTGTCCAAGACACTGCTCTATGCATTGGAATGTGCCAAACTGTCTTTCATACAGCCTGAACTCCTCACTATGCAACTTCCATGCGTTCAGCTCTCTCAGAACACTCATGGATTTTCTGCTTGGATCAGATGAAAGTGTCAAGGCTATGGTGAGACAGTGGTTCCAGTAGCAGCGTAGGGAGCCCTCTGTGAAGGGAACACATTGGCTGGTCCACCAATGGGATATCTGCTTCAACATCCATGTGGCTATTTTTAACGGCCTTTAGTCCTGCACCCAGAACAATCTCCAGACAGATTTCATTTTAATTACCCTCATGTTTCATAGTGCTTCATTCAAATATCAGTCTGATGACTGGATATCCCAACTGAGATCTCATTCATCCAGGCAAATGATGGGACAGTGCCTTAAAATAGGTTTCCGCCCATATTCTTTCTTCATTTACAGTCATCCTACTCTTCAATGCTCTGCAACCAGTGTAACTGAAAACACGTTTTAAATAACATAACAATCAGTCAATTAAAGAAACTTCTTCCAGACTTAAAGAAGGTAATTTCATAGAGTTTAAGTGTGAAGGAGTGCAAGTCAGGCACTGATAAACTATGCTTAATTTGGTTTTAGATTATAGTTCTTAGGTACAGCTATTCTACATCTGGATCATGGTACAAATTATGATGCATATCAATCTAGTAGCGGTAAATGGAAACTTATAGAAGGCATGCTCTCAGCGAGAAGAACCTTTAAAATGTAACCCTGATAGAAAGAGACATAAACATGTGATGTATGCATACCTTTAGTTCCAGATCAGAGTAGATATGTGGTCGTAAGAGACTTAGCACATAAGAAGCTCGTGAGAACTTGAAACCTGGTACGATCTCCTCAGTTACAGCAGCACCTCCCACTATGTGTCTCTTTTCTAATACACAGGTCTGAATTCCTGACTTCTGCAGGTAGGCTGCTGCAACCAGTCCATTGTGACCTGCATGACAGACCCACACATTTCTTGTTAAGTTATTGGTCTCTTTAGTTTTAGCACATTATGATTTTAGGGAAGTGATATGCTGCATGTTCTTTTGCTGAAGATTGCTATTATGTATAGTCATGAGATTACCCAATCCAGGATGATTTCATGGACCTGAGTTCTTGAAAAGCTGATAGTTACTCAGCTAATCAAGAAACTCCATGCCTTTTATGAAGCCCAAATGTTGATCACCATGATCATAAGAACTCTATCCTGAGCCAGATGAATCCAGTCCCAGTTCTTATATACTCATATTTCTTGAAGATATTTTTATATTATCATATATATATATATATTGTATATACACCAAGGTCCCCCAAATGCTATATTTCCTTCAGGTTTTGAGATAAAACTGTATTTGTATTTCTTAGCTCTCTCATGTTCCATCCTTCTCATCTTCCTGGATTTGATCACCTTAATAATACTTGGTAAAAAGTACAATTAAGTGTTATTAGAATATATTTATTTTTATACATATAACAGATTATTTTAATATGCAAACTATTATTTAAAAGCATTGTTGTAGCAAAAGCTCTTCTATCCTGAAGCTGGATGCAGCACATTCCTCCAAAATATTTGTACATACTTGCCAACTACTCAGCATCACATCCAAGAAGACCACAATAAAAACCTCAAATTTCACAACCTAACAGAAGGTCCATTATTTTCACAGCCATATCTATTGAACTATATATGTATAGCCTCGCATCCCTAAAGACAATAATCAAGATTTCTGATTTGGTGGCCAAGTGAAATGAAAATATACGTACATATCCGTTAGCTCATAAGCTTACAGAAAATACATCAACACATAACATCCCTTTTACCGATAACATGTTAACTAGACTAACAGGTAACTTACTAACGTTCTACTAAGAGCTTCAACAAACTTGAATCATTTTCATCCCCTTCCTAGGGAATGGAAAAGATAAAACAAGTTAGAAAATACATGCATAGTGCAATTCAGGCGCATTTCTCTTTTGTTCAATTATCACGAAAAATGTAAGACCAATAGAAAGTGCATTAAGGGTAAAATATGTTTAATTTTACTTTACAATTTTCCTTTGAAATGTTTTTGCTCTGATAAATGTTTAACGAGTTACGCTTGAGATGTCCACAAAAAGAAATATTAGCTTCTTATATAAAGTTACTATTGCACGTATTTTCGGATTTGATAATAATTGGAATTTGTTGGTAAATTCTAGTAAACTATTCCGACATCAAATTTCATTCGCAATATCTATTTTCTAGTCGTTATTTTGGCACGTAGGCAGACAGATGTGGTGAATATAATAGTCGCATTTTGCAAATTTTCTTTGCAAAAGTGCAAGAAAATAAAAAGTTGCCCAATTCAAATCAGAGAAAATAATAAAAATCACAGCTATGTAACAGTAAAATACAAAATATCAGCTGTAGTTTCAAATCCAGGAGCACGAATCTGTTTTCATCTATAGGATTTCCCACCTAAGTTTCGTTTATAACCGATGGTTTCGTTACACACCCGTAGCATAAAAAATTTGAATATGTAGGAATACAGGAAGTTAAAAAATCCTTGAATGCTTAAATCTGTCGTGAAGTGCTGGTGCTTTCGACAATTCAAATGGCCTGAGAAGCTTAAAAAGTACAGGGCCTTGGTTCCTGCCACCATAACAGAAAATCCTAAGTGAGAGTCTTACTCTTAACTGGGCAAGGCATTAATTAATTTGACAACTACTGTTGCATCATCGGAAGCCGCACACTGGCCGCAAATTCTACTTTTTAAGCCCTACGTTACACCGACCATTCCGTGTCACTGCGCATTGAGCAATTTTCTTACGAGTGACAGTATCTAAAGCCATGCATGGTAATTTATAAAGCACCAAAATACTCAGCTGCAGGTTTACATGTACATTCATACCTCCGCCTATAATTACAGCATCGTATGTACTGCTGGGTTCTGACGTTCGTGTATGTATGGAATAGTATTTCATATGAAAACTCTTCAGAAACTGTTGTATCCTCGACACTGTCATAATGGTCATAATGTTGTATGGATTCATATTATTACACTACACACTACAATAATAACATTAATAGTATATTTGTAAACAATATAATTCCTTTTCTTCAAATGAATTGTTGCACTATTTATTTCTTAATTGAAAAAAAAATCACGGGATAAACTAATATGACGTATACTTTAACGTTCAAGGAGCGTTCAAGGAGCTATAGTGATAAGAGAAATCTGAATATTATACAAAACAGTTCTAAATTGTAGCACCAAAGATAATACGAACCAACTGAAATCCAGCAATTCTGTGACAACTGGGCAGTGGCCGGCAGACGCCTTCCACCATCAACGAAAGACAGCGTGTATGTTTCATTTGATTAGTTACCTTCAGAGCTCAGACCGAGATGTACACATATTTCATACATAAATGTTTAACTCTTACAAACGTTTAAGCAGTATTATAAAAACACTAATGTCAGTGATTATGCGTTATTATTAAATTGATGAAACGCTTCCGCTGTGTTTAAACTCCCAAATTTTGCTCCGAGGCACCAGCTTCCTTCTATCTGTCATTTGCTGGTTATGGTTGGATGGGGGTGAATTACTCGCATTTTACAACCTTTTCATTGTTGCAGATTATACATGTAGCGTCGAACGACAGAATGGCAAATTAATAGGAGAGGATGTGAAAAGGAACCGTTCGTGGCCTAATCGAAGTACTATCCCGGCGTTTGCCTGGAGGGATCCAGGAAAATCACAAAAAATCTCCGTTGGAACAGTTGGTGCCCTGGCCGATATTCGAATCGACCCGAATACAGATCTATAATTTTACCGCTATATTAACCTGTTCAGTTGCCGTCATTGGTTATTCAGTTTGATTTACACCATTACATTATTATTTAATGTTTAGGCAGTTTGCTATTATTCCCAATGCAATTTTATGGACTTTTTTAATGTTCTGTGAACTAAGAAATGTTCAATTCTTGTTCAGAAAGGAGCTACCGAATCCGCTGTTCTTAATGATTTCCGTTACGAAAATGACTGAATATTTATTTCATACAGTCCGCAATTATTTCATTTCACCTCCTTTAAAAATCAACATTCATCACTTAGGCAGTTGAAAAGACGCGTTAAATCAACCAAGATCCAATAAATATAATCTACTACGCGTTTCCGCATCATACGCCTTTCATCTGCCATACTTATGGCTGTCTAAAGTATAGAATTTAAAATCGTCTATTCGTGTACTGATGTAGGTAGCTTTGATCCTTTTCCTTGTACGAATGTCAATATGTTGGTAATCTACAAAGTTGTGGAGTAGACGAAATCGAAATTTAAATTTGCTCTACCTCCCATCCGCTGCTTAAAGTTTCTCAATTGTGCAACTACGGGCACATTACGTTTTGTTTAGAGTTTAATAACATTACTAATTACATTTTCTTGCCAGTATTGTGAATGTGTGTTTCTTAGTGTTACAGTTTCTGTAGTTTGAAAATGTAGTACATATTTTAGTTCATTTCTTCCGGTAAGGTCCGCTTTGCCGTCCAAAGAATAATGGGAGGAAATATTTTATACAGCGTTTCAGCACTGTACTGTCCTAGCGGCGCAAGGGGGGGAATGGAGGTATCCCTCCCGCTGCTGCCGCCGCTGTAATGCCGTGGTACAGGGGGGGCGTGGAGTCAGCCCGCCTCTGTCCCCACTGTAACTCCGCATGTAGGGGCCGTGGAGGTATCCTTCCTCGCCTCCACTAGTTATGTCGTAAACTGGTACTCCTGGTAACGTCGCGCCGTCGGGGGTGTGCAGGTACCCCTCCTTGCCTCCACTGGTTATGCTGTAAGGCGTTAACGCAACCATCCTAGCTTACCCTTAGCTAGGATTCTCCTATATCGGAGTTTCCTTCTGTCATACAAGCTGCCACCATGTATTTTCTGTTCTTTCAATTGTTGGTACTACTCCCTGGCATATAGTCTTAGCTCCTTCTTGACCACTCCGCATATGGTTTACAGGTAGCCACATAATCCCTTAATATTACACTTTATCTTCGGATCTTGGGAGGGCGTTACTATCAAGGCTCCCTTACTCTGCCTGTGTGGCAGGAGCCTATCCCTGTCTATTCTTATCTTCGTCTTCGGCTGCCACTGCTGCCTGTGTCAGTT